AACACTATATTATATGAATAGTATAATATACAGTGGGTAAAAATAATCTTTGTACACCTTGTCCTCTTCGAAATCAATTTACACGAAGAAGCAGAAACGTCGCTACAAAGTCTTTATATAAATATACTCTGTTATTGCTTCATTAATTTTTAATTGAATGCAAGCATATTTGCAAAACGTGTTTTTTGCATAAGATTATTATACACAGGATGTTCGAAGGGTCAGTGCCGCATTAGAGGCGATGAAGGGATTGAGGGGAACAAAAGTCTTATACCATTTTGGATATTCGCTATAATTATCGACTTAAAAAATGAAAGTCTGAGCGATGACGTCGCGCTGCGATAGCTCATAGCACGGTCCATCGCGTCTCACTCGATGACGGCGACGCGCGGTGAGGGGAAGGATGACGCGTCGCCGCCTGAACTGGCATGGCGTGACCGCTCATTGGTTCAGACGTTTTATTTTTTAAGTCGACAATTACAGCGAATATCCAACATGTTATAAAATTCTTTTGTTTCCCTTGATCTCTTCCCCCAATGCGGCTCTGACCCTATTTCTGGAGGTTGTAGAAGGAAAAAAAGGTGTGCAAATACTTCTTATATCCATTGCAAATACAAATAATATTTATAACTATGTATTGCTATTGCAAACAAATAAGTCTATGAAAGCATAATGATACCAACCAAAAAACACTCTTGCTATTTTTGTATTATAAAATGGTATGGAGTCAGCTGAACGACCCCAGTAAGTAAATAGCGTTGTTAACTCGTCAGTCATTGTTTCTTTTTGAAAACGATGTAAAGCCTCTCTCAACTTAATACCTCCAATGAATCCGAGATATCGTTTCTGTTAACATAGAAATATATATAACAATTCTTGAAATATTTTTGTAATTACAAATGGCAAATGTGATTGGATAGACTAGTATGCACTAACGCCATATTCATAATCCGTTCATTTCAGCTTTTATTATCTGCTAATAAGTGTATGATAATGTCTCGGGAAACTCCGGATTCCAAAAACCTTAAAAAATATTATATTTATTATATATAACATTAAAAAGTGATAATAAAATAAAATATATCTTCTGGTGTATTTGGTCGCTCATATTTCTGTCGATGTCGCGAGCATTGATTCTTTCGTTTTCGTAAATTTTCTCTTGATAATGACAAATTCTTATAATACTGAAAATCAAATATCATGAATTACTTTTTATGAGAAAATATTTATATTTATTTACTTATTTATATTTATTTATATTTATTTATTTATATTTATTTATTTATATTTATTTATTCATCTTATATAACTATAATATTATTAATATTGAGAATATTACTTCTCTGCATTCCCAACAATCCCAGCCGATTAACTTTGCTCGGTCAGCTTTACATCGCATGTTAAGTTGCTTTGAAATGTCCTTTCTTGAGGACAGTATCCTTTTTTCATTATTTTTGATTGGATGAAATGCAAGTCGAGATTGTTTCAGTTTCTTCCTTAGATATGGTCTAGAGAGTATTGATGGACTTCTTGGCAAATTATTTTCGTTTGTATTTTTGTGCAAAGATTCTTTTGTATCTGATGAACCAGTTAGGATAGAAAATGGCTACGAAATCACATATATAAATATAGCTGTTTCCGTCTGCTTTCC